AAAAAAAAAAAAAAAAAAAAAAAAAAAAAAACACATCATAGTAAAATTAATACCTTCTCCGCTTCGCATCGAAGCTAAAAAATATTTTAACAATAATTAAATTATATTATTATAATATATTTGTTGATAATGTACTTTATTTAAAATTAGGAAATTTTTTCCGATAATTACTTACTATTTGTAAAACGTATTGTTTCTGTTATTCATTTGTAGTTAATATATTAATGCAGTTTTAGATTAATGTAATGCCACGCTAGGCGGTATCATTAATGACTCGTAATTTACTTATAGTATTTAAAGCATTTATGTAACTGTTGTTCGCACTCCAAAATGATGGATCAATTTTCAAAAAATCAGTGTTCAGATGAAATAGTTGTAAATTTGATGATAACTTACTACCAGTAATTTCGTGGTAATAATTACCAATAATATAAATATTAGTTCGTAATATTTTAAAGACGCTAAAAGTATTGTACATTTGTGATTAAAACGTATCATTTAATATATAATAATAAACAGGTATAATACCACCTTGATCAAAAAGTTCCCGGAATTTATTCAGAAAATTAAAAATACAAGTTTATTCATCTAAATCTATATTGTCCCCTTCAAAGTAATCCCCATCGACTGCAACACANCGGGGGCACGGGTTAACCTTAACGGATCGGTCCCAAATTTTGCACAGCTCATTTTTTTGACCATTAAAAAAAAATTAAGGGGTAGCGTAAAAAAAAAAAAGACATCCGATTTTTGAGGGCCACCCTAATAGATATCTGACATTAAATAAATACACTATCATAAGAAACGCTTCGATGCAAATCTGTAGATAGCGTTTAATTTTAAAAAAAAATTTTATTAAAATAGCATATTTTTGAATACGGTAGACATTTTTGCATAGAAGATAGGTGGTCGGGACAAATTTTTTTTTTCATTTTATAGTACATAAAATAAGCTTTAGTTTGATATATGTTTAAAAGACGCAGTATTTCCGGAACATTTTCAAAAATTAAGTTGAAAAAGTTAGTTTTTGTAAAAAAGTTACTATTTTAAATCCCCTCAGTGAGTAGAATAAGTGTTAGATTTTCAAAAAAATCATATTAAATGAAAGGGAAATATCTAAGGTTTCAATACAAAAAAATATTATTTTTATTTATTCATTTTTGAAAAAGTTATGGCAGTTTTAAGTACAAAAAACATCCCGATAAAAGGTAATTTTTATTGCAAACATTACATTTTTTTTTAATTTTCGACAGCCATTAGCACATAGAATATAAGATGTCGGGACAAAATTTTTTTTTTCATTAGATACTATATAACATAACCTTTGATTTGATATATGTTTAAAGAACGCAGTATTTCCGGAACATTTTCAAAAGTTCAGTTGAAAAAGATCTATGTTTTTTACAATATTTTAAGTTTTGAACGCCCCCTATATAAGGGGAAATTGTCCAATTTTAATAAAAAGTATGTCAAATGAAAGATGTACTTATAATGTATTTAGAAAAAAAAAATTTGTGCTGATATATACATTTTTCAAAAAGTTATAGCATTTTTAAGTTGAAAATTTAAAATCGAAAATCGAAAATTTTAACACAAAAATAGTGTTTTTTTAACTACGGCAGCCGTTTAAATGTAGAAAAAAAAGTGTCGGGACAAATTTTTTTTTTTCATTTTGTAGTACATAAAATAAGCTTTAATTTGATATATGTTTAAAGGACGCAGTATTTCCGGAACATTTTCAAAAATTAAGTTGAAAAAGTTATTTTTTGTAAAAAAGTTACTATTTTAAATCCTCCCAGTGAGCAGAATAAGTGTTAGATTTTCAAAAAAAATTATATCAAATGAAAGGGAAATATCTAAGGTTTCAATACAAAAAAATATTATTTTTATTTGTTCATTTTTGAAAAAGTTATGGCAGTTTTAAGTACAAAAAACATCCCGATAAAATGTAATTTTTATCGCAAACATTACATTTTTTTTTAAATTTTCGACAGCCATTTGCACATAGAAGATAAGATGTCGGGACAAATTTTTTTTTTTCATTTGATAGTATATAACATAACCTTTGATTTGATATATGTTTAAAGGACGCAGTATTTCCGGAACATTTTCAAAAGTTCAGTTGAAAAAGATCTATGTTTTTAACAATATTTCAAGTTTTGAACGCCCCCTATATAAGGGAAAATTGTCCAATTTTAATAAAAATTATGTCAAATGAAAGATGTACTTATAATGTATTTAGAAAAATAAAATTTGTGCTGATATATACATTTTTAAAAAAGTTATAGCATTTTTAAGTTGAAAATTTAAAATTGAAAATTTTAACACAAAATTAGCGTTTTTTTAACTACGGCAGCCGTTTAAATGTAGAAGATAAAGTGTCAAGACAAATTTTTTTTTTCATTTTATAGCACATAAAATAAGCTTTAATTTGATATATGTTTAAAGGACGCAGTATTTCCGAACATTTTCAAAAATTAAGTTGAAAAAGTTAGTTTTTGTAAAAAAGTTACTATTTTAAATCTCCCCCAATGAGCTGGTTAAGTATTAGATTTTCAAAAAAATGATATCAAATGAAAGGGAAATATCTAAGGTTTTAGTATAAAAAAAAATTATGTTGATTTGTTGATTTTTGAAAAAGTTATGGCAGTTTTAAGTACAAAAAACATCCCGATAAAATGTAATTTTTATCGCAAACATTACATTTTTTTTTAAATTTTCGACAGCCATTTGCACATAGAAGATAAGATGTCGGGACAAATTTTTTTTTTTCATTTGATAGTATATAACATAACCTTTGATTTGATATATGTTTAAAGGACGCAGTATTTCCGGAACATTTTCAAAAGTTCAGTTGAAAAAGATCTATGTTTTTTACAATATTTCAAGTTTTGAACGCCCCCTATATAAGGGAAAATTGTCCAATTTTAATAAAAAGTATGTCAAATGAAAGATGTACTTATAATGTATTTAGAAAAATAAAATTTGTGCTGATATATACATTTTTAAAAAAGTTATAGCATTTTTAAGTTGAAAATTTAAAATTGAAAATTTTAACACAAAATTAGCGTTTTTTTAACTACGGCAGCCGTTTAAATGTAGAAGATAAAGTGTCAAGACAATTTTTTTTTTTCATTTTATAGTACATAAAATAAGCTTTAATTTGATATATGTTTAAAGGACGCAGTATTTCCGAACATTTTCAAAAATTAAGTTGAAAAAGTTAGTTTTTGTAAAAAAGTTACTATTTTAAATCTCCCCCAATGAGCTGGTTAAGTATTAGATTTTCAAAAAAATGATATCAAATGAAAGGGAAATATCTAAGGTTTTAGTATAAAAAAAAATTATGTTGATTTGTTGATTTTTCAAAAAGTTATGAAAGTTTTAAGAAAAAAATTTCGAAAATTAGCGATTTCTAAATTTGTAATTTTTTTGTATATTTCCCCCATTTGCGGGGAACGAGGGAACTTTTTTCAATTTTTAAGGGTAATGTCTCCAACTAGATACGATTTGTGATCTTTTGACGTATTTTTGGAAGAAATCGGTCCAGTGAGAGCTGAGAAAAAGTGGCAACAGACATAAAAAAAAAAAAAAACACATCATAG